TATGACCACCCAGAGCACACAGTAGCAGATGTAAAGGGAGCCATTTTAAAGCAAAAAAACTTCAGGACCGGACTCCAAAGAGAAACTGCTGAGCTCCAGTTCATTTGCAAATTTGACACCATCAGATCAGGATTAAACAAAGAGGTTCTTATCCACGAAAGCTTATGCTCCCAATACTTCTGTTAGTCTTAAAGGTGCCACAGGACCCTCTGTTGCTTTTTACAGTCATCAGAAGGATCAATAAGATTTGTGCTAGAGCTGTTCCAAGGGTCAAATCTTTCTCCACATCTCTGGAATTTTAAAGATTTCTTTTTATCCCTAAAGTTTTTTCATTCAGTATTAAGGATTTAGTAGAGTAGAAATTCCAAGAGCAGGAAACGAGGACAACATTCATTTGACTTTCCCAGCCATAGGGGAGATGCTGCAAGAGCAGTCAGATGATGTAGTGGTGACAGAGAAAGTCACAGGAAAAAGTAGCAGCCCACCAAATAATGGTTTTAACCACATGGATCTCTGAGGACCACCAAAATAATCCCCTCCAATTTAGACATGGTCTACTTGGCATCCAAAGGTAGCTTGTTTTCACCCAGTACTTTATCACAAGATACCCCTCAAAGGGGCTCTACTCTCCCCAAGGCAGAAGGCTCAGAGCATACTTTTTTGGGGGGCAGAGATTTTTTTAGCTGTTGCCAATAGCACCACAGAGCAGCAACTTCTAAGAATTTACACATCGCTGTTTACTATCTGTTCCATCTCAGAAGACTGGTTATCTCTACTGTGCTTTGTCCAACTGCTCTGAGAGAAAGGTACACAGACGCTCCACCAAATCAACCCTTCTCTCAGTCTCTTCACCTGATGCACTCTCTCCCAGCCCAGATCTCAGTCCTGCAGGGGCAAATAACTTTATTCTTTAGGGTATTTATTCAGACATTATGCAGATTATCCAACTAGAACATAAACACAGAGTAGACTGTCACACTGTTCTATCTTTTTTGCCTTATACTACCAAAACACATACCAAAGATCTTTTAGCCTCAGGGAGAAACTGTCCAAACTCAGAGAGTAGATCCTCCTGTCCCCTGAAGAGATTTGCTACTTCAGTAAACACTTCTTCCTCCGACATGCCTCGAAAGGGTCGGCCTTTAGTGTTCAGCTGTTCTTTCTGCCAATTTACAGAGAAACATTAAACAAACTGTTACAGTAATGCACTTCAGTTAGCAAGGAAACTGGAACAGACAACCCACTGTATTCATGAGTCAAATACAGGAAAAAGCTTTAGATAATTATCAGCTGGCCTAGCATTCTTGTAGCAGCACAACATGCTACCACGTAGGGTATCCAAGGTTGGCGTCCTAGACCTCAGGGCTCAGCAGTCAATTATCAAACTGTCGTCCTTAGCAGATATAAAGCATTTAAAAATAGAACATTAGTAATGGTAAAAGAAAATCACCTAGCTTAAAACAAAAAATACTTTCTGTACAGCTTCAATCAGTTGTCTCTCTTTTCAAACCGAAGCCTGTAGCACCACCACATTACTGAGATGACAAGCATTTGACAGACCCTAAGCATTCCCTATCCACATACAAAGCCTATGCTTAAGAGTTTCTCAGTGCCACATTTGTCTGAGAGAGGCTGAAGTTGGGGGAGATTTATAAATCACAATAAAACAGTACTGTACAAACAAATTTAATTTAACATTGCAGGTTCAAACAGCCACAATACTGGCCCATGATATCTTATTTGCCAGAACTCTACCTGGTAAGTGTGAAGAATTTCTAAGAATGATCTGTAGATTTCAGGATGGTCAAGAAAACGTGTTTTGATCTTATTCACGTAACTTATTGCATTATTGAACTCTACAGAATCAGATTCCAAGGAGATTTGAGATTTATCTTCTTTGTATGGAAGTTGCTGCCGGAAGTCTTCAGAGCAGTCACTGTGGTTGTGGGAATTCTCCTGGCAATAATGTAACAATAACCCACCACCCGGGTGAGCACTTGGAACAGGCTCTGAAGACACCTAGTGATAGAAGTAATGCAAGCTGGTGACTCAAATAAAAAGAGACGTACAACATGTTCATTAAAATTATCATGCATATTTACAAACTGTTTAGTTAGGGAAAGGTTAATTACACAGTAAAAGATTTAACTGACCCATGAATTTCTTGACCTCTTTTACTAAGACGATCAATTAAAAACCATTAGCCATAGTGCTAAACTCTCACTTCTCTTTCCATTTAAATCCAACATTACTTTTAAAGAGCTCTTCCCATCATACCTATTTGAGAACAGAGCTTCAGACAAATGTTTACAGTACTTGAAAGTCTTAAACGTAATTATTCAGAGGATTTTCACATATGATGCACCCCACTGTATGAACATTACTGAGACTTCACTTTTGAAGCTTCAACTTTGATCATTTATAACAAAGGCCAACATTAACCAGCTAAACTTCAAGACTATTGTTTTATTTACAGACACTTATGTTTGAAGGGAAAACAGGTTTGGATTGCACTCTGCAGTTTGCTAGCCTTTATCAGGGTGACTGGTAGATATCCCCAACACTTACTTAATTCTCCAGATCTCTTAAAGATTATAGCTCCACACTTTTGGACACTTACAGAGTAAAAGAAATTGTTGTATATACTTGACTCTGTTTGCAAAGACTCATGGGCTGTTGTAGTTCAGTTTTGGTATATTTTGGCTATTGACTTGTTTGGTGTATGAAGTATGTTGAACATACATTCTTTACAGAAAAATAATTACAGTGACATAATAAAAAGGAATGTTTAAATATGTGATGTAGCAAGAAAGCTATATTTCCTTATTGTAACAGCCCCTATAAAATAACTTAAAATGAGTCTCAATACCAAGAACATCTCCTTCACATCCACGCCCTGTCCTGCCACACCAGTCAAAGGCTTTCTAAGTCCCTCCTTTCACTAATGGATAAAGGTACGTTCTGAGAGCTCCTAGTAGGGCACCTATACCATGACGTTGCATAGCAGACAGTCTGATGTACGTTACTGAGTGTCCAAATTTTCAGGAAAAATCGCTGTTTTAAAATAGGCCAATGACAGTTGAACTTCTTGCTTGCAGTTTACAGATGTCAATCAGTGTACAGAAACTTAACAGCTCCTAGCAGTCAAGCTCATTGGAATCTGTATTCATAGAATTTGGTCAATTGTAGTGCCATGCAGACTCTATGCCACCTCTTGCTTACGATACTGCCTGAAAGCCACTTTTCTAAGCAATTGAGCATTACAACAATTTGTTTCGGTCCAATTTTACCTTTGATTTTTTAATAGCTCCTAGGATAGAGGTGGGCAAACTATGGCCCCCAGGCCACATCCGGCCTGCGGGACCATCCTGCCCAGCCCCTGAGCTCCCGTCCAGGGAGGCTAGCCCCCGGCCCCTCCCCTGCTGTCCGTCCTCCCCCGCAGCCTCAGCTCGCCGCACAGGGAGCGTGGCTGGCTCCGGCCAGGCGGCGCAGCTGCTCCAGCCAGACGGCATGGCTGCCAGTCCTGCCACTCTGAGCAGCATGGTAAGAGGGCAGGGAGGGAGTTGGATAAGGGGCAGGGTGTCCCAGGGGGCAGTCAGGGAGCGGTTGGATGGGGCAGAGGTTCTGTGGGGGCGGTCAGATAGGCGTGGGAGTCCCGGGGGCCTGTCAGGGGTCGGGGATGTGGATAGGGGTTGGGGCAGTCAGGGGACGGGGTGGTTGGATAGGGGGTGGAATACCTGGGGCGGGGGGTCCCAGGAGGGGGCAGTCATGGGACAAGGAGTGGGGGGGTTGGATGGGTCGGGGGTTGGAAGTGGGAGGGGCGGATAGGGAGGCACAGTCTTCTCTACCCGGCCCTCCATACAGTTTCACAACCCTGATGTGGCCCTCAGGCTAAAAAGTTTGTCCACCCCTGTTCTAGGAGCATATGGTTCCTTGGTCCCAGGCTGACCAAAACCACATTAACTAGCTATGGAAGAAGTGTCCATTTGTAGCTGATTCCAAGAGAAACTCAAAATATGTTAAATACAGGAACCATCTCTGATAAGGAGATTCACAGAAAGGGCCTTGTAGATAACCTCTGAAAGTATTTTTTCCAGTTGCAAGTCTCAGTTGTCCACAAACCCTTGTATTTCCGCACCACAGGGTAATTTTGTTTCAGGATCCAGCAAGCAAAACAAGTTTCCTGTAAGTCTCTGAACATCTGAAGGCATTTTCAGCACAATAAGGCCAAACTTCATCATTAGATTCTCACACACTGTTCTTTGTGTTCTTTTATCAAAGGGTGAGTGCCTTCTCAGGTCCAGTTTTCATGAACAATTCTTCCACCAGAGCTAGACTCATAAATCAAGGGATTTTCAAATGTTGTACCTGGACCCAATGGCAATGATCTTGACAAAGAAACACAAAGTACTTAAAATTCAATGACCAAATGTCCATGAAAAAACAGACAAGCCACCACTGCTTCTGCTCTTCTGTTTTCATTCTTCCCTCAACAGTAACTGACTCATTAATGCTTGTGACTGTCACTCCATTATCCTCTGCACTTTAGAAAGTAGTGATGCCAAGAACATACAAAACACTCTGTACTAACATTGCTTTATTCTGCAGTAATTGTAGATTTAAAGAAACACGTTCAACAGTAGAGCTCTCAGAAATGCCAAGTTTCTGAGTGATAGAGAGATCAAAGAACATGAGAGCTGAAAGACTAGCAGGTGGCAGAGATTAGAGTTAAAACCAGAGGCTTCTGAACAAAATTCAGCTAAGATTTTTAAGTTTCAAACTCTGCAACTGAAAATGGATGCAAAGTCTGGTATGATTCTATCTACATTCTAATGCTACATCCATCACAGCTGTATCTGAACACTTGGATAATAAGATTGGGACTTTTCAGCTTGGAAAAGAGACGACTAAGGGGGGATATGATAGAGGTCTATAAAATCACATTGGTGTGGAGAAAGTAAATAAGTGTTATTTACTCCTCATAATACAAGAAGAAGGGGTCACTAAATGAAATTAATAGGCAACAGGTTTAAAACTAACAAAAGGAAGTATTTCTTCACACAATGCATAGTCAGCCTGTGGAACTCCTTGCTCAAGGATGTTGTGAAGGCCAAGACAATAACATGGTTCAAAAAAGAACTAGATAAATTCATAGCGGATAGGAAGGTCAGGATGGGCAGAGATGGTGTCTCTAGCCTCTGTTTGCCAGAATCTGGAAATCGGTGACAGGCGATGGATGAAAGGATGATTACCTGTTCTGTTCATTCTCTCGGGGACACCTGACATTGGATGCTGTCGGAAGACAGGATACTGGGCTAGATGGACCTTTGGTCTGACCCAGTATGGCAATTCTTATGATACAAATGAATAACATGTACAAATTTGTGAACTGTGCAGGCATCTTAATGGGTATGTGGAAATATGATCTTTTCAAACATGTTTTTCAAGTTTAAATTCAAGTGCAATTATATAGATTCACTAAATAATGTGTGTATACACAGCCAGCCAGCCATGATTTTTAACTTTCAAATTTGATTGAAGTATTTGGCCTGCAGTGGCAACTTGTGTGGGAGCTTCATTTTAATACAGACTAAAACTATTAAATGTTTCTTAAAGAAATTCTATTCTATTTACATTCTCATACCCATTGCTATGGTATCTGAACAACCTGTAAAACATATTTTCAAACTGCAATAAAGGCAAATCAACTCATCTATTATGCAGACCCCGTATGTCACGTGTAGATACACTATGATTAATTTAAATTAATCCAAGCATTTTAACATACCTGACTAGCCAGTGGCGACTGTATACTTAACTTCCCGTTCTTTGGAATCTCTATTCTGTAGCCCAAAGGGAGGAAAGCATTGAATCCTACAATGAGGTCGGGATGTTCATGAAACAGCTGAGAAACCCGCCTGATTACACCAGGAGTATCAATGCTAGAACCAAGAACAGGCTGTTAACTCCATGTAAGACCTTAAGTCACAAAATAAAAGGTAAGATACAGAAAAAGTAAGAACTGCAATAACATTTATTAGCAATCAGGGAATTGGATAGACTTAAACATCAAGATAACATTGACTCCCCTGAAGACAATGATAAACTGTCCAGAGTTCTTGTGGCTTCCTAGAAAAGATTTAGTCACAGCAATTATAATGCAGCAGGTTGAATTATTCCAACTCTCTGGGTATGCATGTATCACAGTTAGGATAGTTCCCCTCCCTGAATCTAAACACTGATCATACAATTTATATATTTTGCAAGGTTAAGGCCAGATGTACAGATGTCCAAAGAAACTCCTTTTCCCATCCCCCCCAGTCTAAAGACTGAACTCTCCAAACGAGGCACACATTAGATTCATTAGCCCCAATACTACAGAACACCAGTGTCTGACCATGACACTATTCTGGACAGTCCATGTCACTTTAAAAGACCGACAGAACTAGTAGGCCCAAATGAAGTGAAAGATTCCCAATCATCAGCAAACTCCTCCCAAAGTGATGGTTCTGCTTATGGGGCCAGATGGAGACTCAAGGATGTGGATTAGCTGAAGGGGATGTGCCTGCCTTCACTCCTGGTGTTTTGGTTGTTACAAGTTCTGGCTTCTTCACCCCTTTTTAGGATTTGGGTTCCCTGAGTGAGCTGAGTTATAAGATTTATTGCCTTCCTGTAATTATGGCCCTGGGAAATTGTGGGATATTGACTCCATCCGGATAAATGGTGTTGGGATAGATATTCTAGAAGCAGATTTGGAACCCTCTTGGGGAGGGGATAATGGAACCCTTTATATCTGGAATTTAACTCTTGCATAATCTCATAGAACCCAAGAAGCATGTTTCCTGCATGAGCTTGGGAAGTGTGATGATCAGATTTTGCTGAAGGTGTGCTGAAAATGGGAACGGAGGCAGGGGAAATATGGGGGGGGTATTTTATGTGGGGATGAGCAATGAGGAGGTTCTTAAAGGTGGGTGCTGGCATTAAAGTCTGGGGTCCTATAAGAGGAGTGCTAGGAGCAGGGGAATATTCTAGGGCAAAATGGGATACCTGAGAGGAAGGGCACTGTAGGAGTGGGTATTGGATGGGTTGGGGGATGAGGGGCGTGTCACCTTACCTCTGACGAAGTGGGTATTCACCCACGAAAGCTTATGCTCCAATATATCTGTTAGTCTTAAAGGTGCCACAGGACTCTCTGTTACCTTACCTCTGGCTCTTGAATTCCTTCATGATCTCCAGGAACCCGTTATAGGTGGCGGGATCACTGCCAAAGCGAATCTTCACCTGGTCCAGGTAGGAGAGTGCATCCTCCACCTGCAGGGGAGCGGGAGTTAGTCAGGGAGCTGGGGTGGAGAGCAGAGCGCAAGGCAACCTAGGGTCTGAAGACCTATGCCCCGAGAGGGAGAGGGGGCTAAGGGGCTTGCAGGAAGGGGTTGGGGTTCACTCCGGTGGGGGGGTGTCACCCTTGGGGGGGAGAGGCCCTGGAGCAGACACTGTAGATTATCCCAGATGGTAGGGAATGGGGGGTTATCCTGGGTGAAGTCCAGCGGGTGCGTGTGGCGGGGCGATGTGGGGCCCGAGCAGGCATGGGTGATTATCCCGGGTGGGAGGGGCCGGAGGTTATCCCAGGTGAAGTGCAGGTGGCCCGTGGGGCGGGGCGATGGGGGCTCGAGCGGGCACAGGGGTTATCCCGGGTGGGAGGGGCCGGGGGTTCTCCCGGGTGAAGTGCAGGGGGCCCGTGGGGCAGGGCGATGGGGGCCCGAGTGGGCA